ATGAACATAACTGTTTTTCTTACTGTATGTCTTAAATTTTTAATTTTAAAGAACTTGCATATAACTTCTTATTTTTCGTCATATGGAAACTATAGCTTGTGATTGAGAATCTTTAGGAGTGTGGTGCTTTGCTTCCTTAGGGAGGCATGCTGACCAGTGCTTTAAGTGTTTGAAATAGCTCTGAATCCCTTGCTGATGGTCGCTGTTAGTTTGCTCCACCTCCATTTACTGTGTATTGTAAAAATCAGTGGTGACACAAGTGGCTCTTCTGTGACAGATAAACACCTCTTATTTTTCTCAGTTTAAAGAGTTAAATTCTGGGTGCATTGATGGCTTGATGTTGTGTTTGGCTTAACATAGACTGAGGATGGCATCAGTTTAGCTCTATTTAAATGGTTTGGAGCAAGTTCTTGATGTCAGAAGATTTGTTTCAGTTCTTTTAATTCTTAGCTCTATTTTAAACTCCAGTGTGGAATGCATTGGTTTAAAAGCAGTGTCCAAGTCTGTTCTTTCAAAAGATACAGCTTTATAATGTAAAAGAAGCCCTCACGCTGAGAAATTCTGAAGCTCTAAGCACTGGGGCTGAGGCTTGTTTGTAACTCTGAAATGGGAGAGGAAGAATTGGAGCTTTGTCAGTGAATTCCTACTTTGAATATGTTTGCTGAGTGGTTTATGTAAACGAATTTTACATTGCATTTCAACTGTCTTAAACACATGTGCAGTCTTGCTCCAAGGGAATGATAATTGACAACTGAAAAGCAGTAACTTCGTGGTGATTTTCAATGTGATGGCAACGATTCCTCTGAACACAGCCCTTCACATGCTCAAGAGGCAGGAATACTCCATCGCTAAGTGTCATGAAATCAAAAGTAGTGCATCTCTGTAGGCAAATATAGTCAGTGTGTACGATGTGTTTTGCTTCAGATCATATCTTAGAAAGTTGTGGAGAGACTGAAAAGTATTATCTAGATGGCAGAAACAAAAGATTGCATTCCTTGCATGGCTTTCAGGGACAGAGGAAGAAAAATTTTCTCCTGGACCAGAATGCACATCACTGCCACCATAGGAGGGTTCTACCTTAAGATAGAACAAGATAATTATGTTGAGACCAGTTTGTCTTTTTTTTGAGTCTATACCTCTACCTCCCTGCTGTGAACAAGACAAACTTGTAATTCACTGCTAAAATTATTGCTTAAAACATAAAGACCAGAATATTGTTTAAGGTGGATAGTGTGGATTTTGAAATCTTTGTAGGAGTTTCTGCTTCTACCTACAGTAGAGATGGGTACTTTGATCTTTTCAAAGGAAAGCCTGTTGGAAGGCCTGTTACTGCATTTCCAGAGCTCACAGGTTTTTTTTTAGAGCTATGGTGAAGCTGCTGTATGCTTTTTTAAGCCATATCTACTATTATAATTATTTCTCCTTACTATCTCTGTCTTAAATCCCTAGAGTGTTACATGTAATTACCACTGCAATGTTAAGATAGAGGTAAAGTAGAACTGTACTTAGATGTTCACTTTGAAAGTAAAGCTTTTCTTATTTTAAAATCATCTGGCTTCCTGTGAGATATCATGGTAGCAGAATTTGTAAAGAATGGTAAATGTGGAGGAGCTAAAGCTGTGCAAATAAACTTGAAGTGTGATTTCATGAGAGGCATGCCAAAAAAAGCTTTTGGGAAGGGAAGATGGAGATGTCTGCTTGATAGTGTGTAAGAAATTGTGAAATAAGCCTGAATAAAAGGCTGTTGACAGGAGGAGTTCTTACTTTTAATATTATGTGGATTCAATGGTAAAAATGAAAAAGGTGTGCTTTGAGCATGTGACGTTTTGTACTACTCCTGCCCTCAGATTTGAGTTTTTTTTCATGTATTTCATAATAGTAAAATGGTTATTTTTCTAGGGGTGAGAGTAGAGCTTTCAGCTTTCCTAACATTCTGCTGGTGAGGCTTTCTGGAGTCTTAATGACCTTCTGAGGGAGGTGCTCCAAATACGGTGGCAGACAGTTCTACAGACATGTATAACTGCTTAAAGTGAATGGCAGAGTTGCAAGGTAGGACTCTAGAAGCTTGAATTTGATTTAATGGAGTCAGTAAAAAGAGAAACTATTGTGGTCAAAATTTTCTAATACTTTTGTATGGACTTTTCTTGAGACACTAAGTGTGTTGAAACAAGAGGCAGGTATTGGAGAAAACTGTTGTTAGTCACAAAAAAAAAAAAAATGCTTGAAGATTTGTAGAAAGATTCAGCAGAATCTGAAAAAACCCAGAATGCATATTAAGCAGATAACTTCAAGCGTTTTGAGTTAAGGAGAGTGCTTGTGGTCAGCTGGTCTAACAAGCTGAGAAGGAAGATAGGTTATGTTCTATCCATAGGTAGAAGTGAGAAGGATTTGGTGAACTGGAGATTTGATCTAATGATTTTATAGTTTAAGCAGTACTTCCAAATACAAGAGAAATGACAAGAGAGACTCTTAGTGTAATATACAGAAAGAGAGTTTGGAGACCTGATGAACAGGTAAACTGAGAATAATGCTTATTTCACCTGTTGGTTCTGAACATTACCTCTGAGGTCTTAGGGAAAGTATCTAAAGCAAAGAGAGAAGGCAAAATGGCAAGAAGCAGAAGAAAGAACACTTGAGGAGCCAACAATAATGCCAGGTTCATGTAGGTGACTATGCCTGTCCTGAGATTTGTCAGTGTTACCAGTGGCTTGAATGTAGAGAGAGGTGATAAGAGCCTTACATATGCAAAGAAAACTAAGTTCTAGGTGTCTGATCCTGTAGTGGAGAAGAAAATCCCGAGTTGGTAGAGGCTGCCATTCTAGGTTAACATTTGAGGCATGATGGATGGCTTAGGTTTCACACAAGCCAGGATTCATTAGTAGTCCTCAAGTCAGCTTATCATACTATCTGTGCGTGTTCTGAGCGTTTGGCTCTCCAGTGTCACATATGATGTAAGACAATTTGCAAGGGAAAGATTAAAATGTGTTCTTTCTTTCCTATGAAAACTAGGGTATGTAATGTTAGTGTTCATATTCTACGTGAAAGGTACAATCTAAAATTTTCAGTGCAACTACTCTGTAGCTGCCAAATAGAAATAAAGGTGACCGTACTGCTACTTATGCTTCAGTACCAGCAGGCTGCCTGGCTTGTTTCGGTGTAGTGTAAGTTAATGGCAAATCTGAAGAGAATGAGAAGGAAACAAAGTCTGCCAAAAAGATAGTTGTTCAAAGAGATATGCTAAAGAATTTCTTTATATACTGAAGTTAGTACTTATGCTGCCGGTAGTCCTGAAGATTTTGTGTTGTTGCCAAAGTTGTCAGTGTAGAAGCAGCTGCGGATTTTTTTCCTTGAGCTATGATTATATGATGACAATATTTGTGTTCTTCCTTCTAAACAGGTGTTACATCATTATGTAGTATACATGATTGAGTATGTTAGCTTCCAGTGGAAAAACTTGTTCTTGAATAATCCTAAGTAAGTTTGTTGGAATTAATTCGGAGTAACTTGGTTGAAATGTAGGTCTGCTGGCTTTCAGAGTTTTGTCATTTGTGATGCTCTCCCTCTCCCTGCTAGTTTCTCAAGTGGTGAAAATTCAGCTATAAATCATATGCTGGAGAAGAAGTTATTTATGAAACAGAGATTATATTAATCTCTTGTCTGCTGCTAAAGTTTCAAGTGACTTCTTGCTTTTGTGGCTTCCTGCGGTCAGATGAAAACATAAAATTTCTGTTTTCAGTTTCATTTTAATTCTGAAGATTTTTTAGAGCAGCTTTTACAATTCTAACTAAAAGACTGGAATTGATACCTGGTTACGCTATCATAAATCTTAATGCTTTGGGAACAATGCCTGGTTAAATGTTAATTTTCAGTTTGGAACCTGAAAAATACATGTATTTTAAGTAACTCCGTAGTGATACTGATATAAACTAATTGAGAAAATGTTATACTAGTTAGGATTCCATAAGTTATGAAATGTGGGTTGTTTTATTATAGTAGCAGTTTAAACCTAGAAAGGAAATAAAACTTCTTGTTAAAAATGTGGGGTTTTTTTGCTAAATAAGAGAAAGCTTTGTCTGTTCTCAATTTGATGTTTTTATTTACATCCAGGTTAGTTTCACCAAACTTTAACAATTTTGATCTACCTCGTTTATAACTACTTAGCTACATCTTGCAAGTAAATACCTCAAGATGTGGGTACTATAGGTTTAATTGGTAGAAACAGTACTTGCCCACTTGCGGCATTCCCTGGTGCTGTTGTGTTTTTCTTTACTTTGCAATGCAGTGGTAGGACATTTGGGTGTATATAGAGGTTACCCAGGTCTCTGATACCATACTTGCCTTTATTTTTTCATCGTCTCACTGCAGGCACTTTGGTATTTACTAGTTTATTGCTCAGTAAGTGCACCTTTGGGTTGTCAGATTTCTCATTGCTGAAAGATCCACCATTTCATTTTCAATTGATAAGAGTTAATCTCATAACTGGCAAGTAGTACTGCAAAGATGCTTTTTTGTATTAGGTAGAGAGTTCTTTTTTCCCTTTCTGGATGCTTTGTTATTAACAAATACATAAAAGATCTATTTTTATATCCCTTTGAAAATGTGAAATATTCTCTAAGTGTTTTAAGGAGCTGCACATTTTTACTTCAGTAGCTGAATTCCATAAACAGGATGAGTAGGCAGGAAATTTACAGACATGAAGAAAACATTTAAGATGGGTGTTGCAATTTAAAACCAACAAACAAAACCCAAGCAAAAACAATACAGAAAAAAAAACCCCACACACAAGAACAACAGGGGAAAAAAAAAAAAAGCCCCCAAAAGCAGCAAACCCCTAAACTAAGCTGGAGTAGATTTTTTCCTTGAAGTTACCATGATTCTCATGAAGAGAGGAAGGCAGTAGCGTTAAGATTTTGGGAAGGATTAGAGAAGACTGTCATGATAGATTATAATCTGTTACTGTATTTAATACCTAATATACGTTTTTCCCCCCACAGAAATTAGCAGAGTACGGAAAGACATGTATAACGACACATTAAATGGTAGTACGGAGAAGAGAAGTGCAGAATTACCAGATGCTGTGGGACCTATTGTACAGTTACAAGAGAAACTATATGTGCCTGTAAAAGAATATCCAGATGTAAGTATATCTTTTTAGTCCCTAAATGATTTTTTGATCCTTGTGGTCGTCTTTAAATGCAAATTTCATGTGATGCTACCCTTGGATCACACTGAATTGCTTTTGACAAGATACTTCTCAGGGAAGCAGTGTATGTTCCACTTTGTGGCTTGATTTGTAGTGATTACGAGTGAAAGAAGGTTGTTAAATACCATAGTAGTATGGGTTATAAAGCTGTAGGACTAAGATCTGTCTTGTTCAGTCAGTACTGTAAGTCCTGAGACATTGTATAGTGAGTTCTATGAGGGCAGTAGTTCCTGGGACAGTGTTTTTTACTATGTCTCTAAGAAGTCTGTTGGAGATTCTTTAGAGACATTTTGGAGACTGTGCAATCTCAATTAGTATTTGTCCCATACCTGTGTAAACAGTTCAGTTTCATATAGAGGTGTCTTTATCTTGGGGTTAGTTTGGTTTGGGTTTTTTTTTGATTGTTGTATTTTTTTTTTATTTTATTTTGGTTTGTTTTTTTCTGCCCCTTAAGCAGAGTTCCTTGCTTGCATGCCAGTGTTATGTTCTCCATTGAGTGTTCTATAAAACTGTACACATGCATTTTGAGGGAGAATGGTTTCCTTTAACTAGAAGAGCTATGTAGAACTCTTATGGTCTGAATGGGTTCTTAAAATAACTCGGGGAAAAGTAGTCCTGTCAAGATCTACCCCAGCCATTTTCATTGATTACCAACAAAATAAGAAATGGTGTTATTCTTCCCTAATAGAATTTAGAGTTCCCGTAGCAGTGGAGGAGTGCATGGTTCAGGTGGGGAATTTCTGCATCAAAGTGGAAGAAAGTACAGGACAGCAAAAAATGGAAGTATGCAAGTAACACTTGTGTATTTCTGTGGCTTTTCTTTGTATCATTGATCAGATTAAGTTCTCCAAATTGAGCTTTATTACTTTAATGCTGCTTAAAACATACAGGAGCTAAATAAAACCCTCCTGTGCCATACTCCATTAAGAAAATAAAGCGCATGTTACTATGCGCAACCAGATATTTAAACAGATGTCTCTTCTCCCTTTTCAGTTGGCACAAAGTTGTTTTGTTACTTTTGGTTTAAAGTAAATGCACTGGAAAAAGTGTTCAAAGACTTGGCATTGGCAGTAAGGACATCCCTCTTCCCTCCCCTTTCATTTTTCTTTTGAATCAACTACATGCATATACACATATATATGTGTATATGTACATATTCCTACACCTAAACAATGACTTTTCTGCAATTCCAAGGAATTCTAAAAAAGGAACTGCTGCTATGCAGTTATTCCATAAAGTGATGTAAATAATTCTGTACTTAGATATCTCTCCCTATTAGTTATGTTGCTTATTGGCTTTTTAAAACATAGGTTAGTAGTTGAAATCTTGGTTTTGTAACTCGGCAGTGAATACTTTGCAAAGTTTTTCCTTCGTTACCGGTTGTAGTTTTTACAGAACTTCATGCTTGCTGTACCAGGATGATGAGATAGGAGGAAGAAAAAGGAATTGGATTTCCTAATTAAGCTTTTCTTACAGAAATACAGGGTTCAGTAGCTTAGTTTTTCACTCTCAGTTAATTGTCAAATGTAGTGTAAACAAGCAGCAAAGTTTGTCTCTAGTTACTGTCAAAGTGCTTGTGTAACTTTGGGTGTCTGATTTCTCTAGCTACTGCTCCCTCTGCATCTGCCTTCAGAAGACTCTCCTTGAAGTGGTCACTGATTTATTTTAATAGGTTGTTCCAAATTCAGAAGTTGGAGAGACCTGTGATTTGTATGCATGTGATCTGGAATAAAAATTTAGTTTGCTCCTTTGAGCTGATGTGAAATGTTTCCTAGAAAATGTACAGCTTCTCCCACTATGGTGGTACTTGGTCGCTAAAGCTTCACTGGAGAGCCAGGCTCAGCATTCTCTGTGTGCTCTTGCCAAGTCTATGTGTTGTCTCTGTTTGTCCATAGTTACTCAGAATGTGATCTGCACACTCTCAATAGTTTGTTAAGCAACCAGAGCATACCACTACATAAAAAAAAAAAAAAACCACCCACACAAAAAAACCCCCCAAAACACACACACACAAAAAAAACCAAACCCAAAACAAACAAAAAAACCCCCCACAACACCTGTAGTTTTTTATGTAGGTCCCTTCTAAGATCTCTCTGCAAGTTAGACATTAAATAACCTGCTTTGTATTCAGGCTAGTGCAACACTCAGAAGGTCTGGAGTACAGTGCTTCCAACTTGTCTCAAGAAACCAAACCAAACTCTAAAATCCACTTGTAAAGATTAATTTCACCTGTAAAGGTAATTTAATTGTAATAACAGTGTTACGTGAAAACTTATTACTTATATCTGGCAATTGATTTGTTATCAGATACAGTGAAGACATCAGACTGAGTTTATCAGATAAATCGAGTTACTTCTTTCTATTGTCATCATTCTCTTCCAGCTGACAAGTTGTATACCTTACAAAGACATAAAGATGGATAAACTTACCTAAACTAAGGTTATTCAGAGAAGAGTGGTCACAAACTTTTCTGGTGTAGATTTACTGATGTTTTTAATGACAAATGATCATCAAACTTTTATGAAATTTTAATACTCTTATTCAGGTAAATATTTTTTCCTTAACATTCTAAGCGTATAGACTAGCTCAGTGCAATGAGTACCAAATAGTACTGTAATACCATTTTGTACACAGAATCCAAAGTTAAATAAGGCATAAAAATAGTCTATCATCAGTTTAAACAAACTTATATTTTGTGTGTATATATAAACATACATGTATATATAAAACAAGAAACAGAGTTGTAATCTCCTACTTGACTTTGATATTGCTCCTTTGAGTACCTACACAGAGGAAGTGATACATGATTGAATTAGTAAACCTAAAAAATATATAAAATTCCCTCTAGTCTCTTAAAAGTTTAGTGTTTTATATGTGTGTATTGAGTTTTTCTAACACCGTCGTTAATATAGGCTTCAGCTTTCCAAAAAATAAATTGTTTGCAACAGACTGTGGTTTTTAAATGCCAACAGCGTAGAGTCTGAATTTCTACTTCTACAGAAGATATGCAAAAATTTTGTTAAAGAATAGAAATTTGTCTTCTGTATGAATAAGGAACATTTTTCTGTGATGTAGCCACAGTTTGATAAATCACGTAACTGCTGGGTCGATCTGCTTTTTGACTCGGTTTTCCAAAGCAAGCTACAGCAATGCGATGGTATGTATCTGTATATATCATTTTCTTCTATCATCCTTGGGAGCTGTTGGATCTTTTTAGTCTTAAAAATGAGATTTGAGCTACATAGCTTTTCTGAATCATGTACGTGCTCCTGAAACTTGAGAGAGAAATTGTGCAGAAGGCACCCAAAGGTTAAATTCCTTTAGTTGTTCATAATTTGCCCTTCAGTTAAGAATTTTCCTTTCTACAGTTAAAACTCTGTATGCTTGTTTAAGTCTTTGGTGTTACAGTTTGTAGATATTTCTGATTGATGGAGTTATATCTTCCTACAGAGTTTAAAAAAGGAGAAAATGTGAGGAAAATTATTGAGCTCTTAGGAAGCAGAAGAATGGAGGATATGCTATTGTTTTTGGTGAATAGTTAGTAGTATTTAGCATTTCTTATGCTTCAGATAAATGATTAATTTTCTTGAATTTCCCTAAGGAGCTGAGACTAAACTTTCTGATATCAATTTAAACAGTTTTAGGAATTAGTACCTACAAATGTTGGACTGAATAAATGTTTTTCTATTATAATCACAGCTTTATTATTAATAAGTACTCTGTTAGCTCTGATTAATGTGAAATTCTCTGTTGGAACTCATCTGTGCCTCTTCAGTAAAAATGTAAGAACTCCGTAATTATCGCATCTACAGCACCACGTCCTCTGAGTATACTGAAGCTCAAAGGCCAGCAGTGATAAACAGCTTGTGTCTGCTTTCTGACCATTTCAGTTAAAACTGTTTAATTAGTACAACAGAAGGAACACAGGGATTCATTTTACTATGGGGAACTTACTGACAAAACGTTTAAATCCTTTTTCAATTTGGTAATATCAGAGTTTAATAGCATCCCTAATACGGATTAGGAAACTGATAACATCATCTTTATTTATTGTTCTGATTCTTTTATTTAAGCTCTTCATTCCCTAGTGGTAAACAGGGAAGGAGGCTAAAAGGGCTAGCCTACTTTACCCTTGCAGTAGGAAGCAAAGAGAGAATATAGCTGATCTCTGTAAAAGAACTTGGGCTGTAGAGTACCAGCAGGGCTGGAGGAAAGTTTGTCAAAAGGTCAGCTACTGATACAAGGATAAATGTATGTGAAAGAACTAAAATAGTTTCATTACTAATTTTCAATCTGAATGAGATATTTGGAAAAACATTCTAATAGAAGCAGTGGGAAAAATAAAGTTAATTATGAGTTGGAACTTTATATATTTATGACAGGCATTACACACTCTGGTTGCAAATGGTACGGGAATGGATTTATTGAGAAGGGTCTCCTTCATTTACATGCTAATTAAACGGAGATATGCCTTAATATTATGAGGCTTTTTTATCCTGTCAGAAGTTTTATGGGACATCCTTCCATTACTGCCCATCTGATTCACCTTCTGAAAGGCCAGGTTTGAGCCCTGCTTCATCCTCAATAGCTTACTTTGTTTTTTGTCATCATTTTGTTCAGAAATAAGCAGAAAGAATATTTTTCTTGTTTAGTCACTATACAGGTGTCAGTCATAAGGGTTGGAGTCATCTAATACGACATTAACAGCTAGTGCCTTCTGTGCACCAAGGATGAAAAGGAGCATGTGTGTAAGCAAAGTAATGAAGGAGAATGGTAGGTTAGAAAATGAGTTTAGTTTGTAGATTACTGTTTTTGTGAATATCTAAAATTTCAGTCAGGATAAATTGAGCTTACTAGGAATGGTTAACATTGGGAATTAGAAAATTTGAGGTTGCAAAGTATGTGTCCAACTGAACTTTTTGAAGAGCAAGTTA